TTGAGGTGCTAGTGGATTGAACCCAGAGCCTTGCAAGGTCCCTACCCCATTTGGTGGAAGAAAAGAACAGGCTCCTGCAGATTGATCTGTCACCTTCATGTGTGTACCATGGTCTGAACAGTGTGTAAATTTGTACAATACAATAAATATTTAAAACTACATATGCACACACACACACACACAGCAGACTTTCTTGAACAGCAAAAAAAAAAAAAAAAAACCCAAATCATGACATGGAAACTTGTTATTAATTATGAACACTTAGCCTTAACGTTAGGCTTGTTTCTAGGTAGCTTTTTTTTAAACTTATAGTAACCCATTCTATTAATCTATGTGCTGCCCTAAGGCTTATATAAGTACAGTCCATCCTGCTTTCCTGCTTCCTCTGTGTCTCTGACTGTCTGGCCCCTGACTGTCTGTCTGGTTCCCCTTTTCTCTGCCTGCCAGCCCCACCTTGCACTCTTCTGCCTAGCTATTTGCTGTTCAGCCTCTTATTAGACCAATCAGGTGCCTTAGGCAGGCAAGGTAAAACAACAACACATTGCTACATAGTTAAACAAATATTCTATCCACAATATATACATGCACGCGCGCACACACACACACACACACACACACACACACAATCTTGTTCAGACAGGATCATACTATATAACTCAGTACTCATGCTGGCCCCAAGCTTACAATCCTCCTGCCTCAGTCCTCCAAACACTGGGATTACAGCAAATGTGTGCCACCAACATGACCTTTTTCTTTTCTTTTCTTTCTTTCTTTTTTTTTTTTTTTTTTTTTTTTTGAGACAGTTTCTTTGTGTAATAGTTCTGGCTGTCCTGGAACTCACTTTGTAGACCAGGTTGGCCTCACACTCACAAAGATCCACCTGCCTCTAGCTCCCGAGTGCTGGGATTAAAGGTGTGTGCCACCACCACCTGGCCCAACATGACTTCTTACTGTTTTAACTTACTATTGCTTAATTGTTATTGCTATTTTGTGGTTATTTACTAGGTATTGATAGGTCCTCAACCTTAACTGTTGTGTAATCTCTTCCTATGATGAACAGGACTGAACTGACCCAATCGGATAAGACAGGAAAGGTGGTACGAGACATATGAGGCTGAATCATAAAGTAACTGTGGCTTCCATCTTCTTTGTTGTTGTTTTGCTAGCTCTGACTAGCCTGATACTTACTGTGTAGACCAGGCTAGATTCAAATTTGCAGTGATCCTCCTGGCTCTGTTTCCCAAGTGCTGGGATTATAGGCATAAACCATCATTCTCAGCTGTGGCTTCTGTCTTTCTCATACTTGTACCACACTCTTTCTAACTTAGGGGGAGTCAGCAGTGGATATCAAGAGCTGAAAATAGGCCTAAATCCTATTTGTCTATATATTTCCTCAGGCTGTTACAACAAATCACAAGTTTGGTGGTTTGCAACATCACAAATTAATTTTCTTTTAATGTGTAGTGTGTATATGTGAGTACAAGTGTGTGCATGCGTGTGGAGGTCAGAGAACAATTTTGTGGGGTCAGTTCTGTCATTCCACCTGTTAGATTTTGGGGTGCAGAGTAAAGAGACAGAAGGGACAAAGAGACCAGAGTTTGACCTCCATATACAGAACTGTTTAGTTCAAACATCAAAGAACAGTTGCTCTCCCTGGGAAAGGAGGTCTGCAAAAGGAGGTTAATTGGGACCCTTAATGGGGGCAGGTGAGAGGCGTGAGAATGCGGAAGATAATGCATCTTCAGGGGGGCTGCATGCAAAGTTTGCAGTCTCTCCACAAAGTCATTTATCTTTAGAAACTAACTCGCCCTCCCTCCCTGTGGAGTGGGTGGGGAATGAGACAGGAGGGGGGTGGGAGGGGGGCATGGAAGGGAGGGAGGGAGAGGGAACTGGGATCGATATGTAAAATAAGAAAAAATAATAAATTAAAAAAAAGGAAAAAAGAAAAGAGACTACGTTGCCCTGGCTATCAGGATTCGGGTGATAGTGGGTAACTGAGTTAGGCTGCAGTGTCAACATGGGCAGGGGATTTTAGCAAGTCTTAATTCATTGGTCATAGTCTTGCAGAGTTTGTTCAAGGTTTATTCTGACCCCACACCACCTTCACAAGGGTTCTGGGGATTAAACTCAGGTCATCAGGTTTGTGCAGCGGGTAAACCTTGGTCTGTTGAGCAATCTCATCTAGCTAAATATTTCTAATTGTTCTTTAGTTCGGAAGTCTGATAGAGTTGTCACTAGACCAAAATAAAAATATCAATAGCTTTTTGGGTCTAGTGATCCAGCTCTGTGACCCTAGTACTAGAGAATTGGAGGCTAGAAAATTGAGGGGTTGCCTGGCATTGGTGGCGCATACCTTTAGTCCCAGCACTCAGGAAACAGAGGCAGGTGGATCTCTGCGAGTTCAAGACCAGCCTGGTCTACAGAGCTAGTTCCAGGACAGCTCCAAAGCAATACAGAGAAGCCCTGCCTCAAAAAAAAAAAAAAAAAAAAAAAAAAAAAAGCGGGGGTGGGGGTGGGGGGTAGGGAGGGAGTCAAAGTATTGAGACTGGTTTGCACAATACCACACATATGCTGGGCTTGATGTGATAGAGTGCACCTTCTATACAAAAACCTCAAACCTCAGAGAGTATATTATGTACGTATGGCAGAGGGTCAGGAGTTAGCTAGTCTCAGTAGGAGGTGTCTATAGGTGAGCAGTGTCAGGCTAAATATCTGGTAGGTGGAAGCTGCAGTTGCTAGTTTTTGCCCACGTTGGTCAATTGTTCTCAAACACTGATACTTGCATGCACTGTCGGCATGTCCACTTGGACCAGAGGAAGACTTTGCCATCTCTCTGAACCTCACTCAGCACTGAGGAAGCTTCACCAAATTCCAGTGGGTCTGGGGCCTTGGTCCTTGAGATGGACATGACCATGCCAACAATACACATTCACTCAGGATTTCCTTAAGACCTTACACACTCATTCAAGGCTTTCTTGGCTCCCCACAGCACAATTAATTCTGGCCAGATGTGATGACACATGTCTTTAACCCCAGCACTCAGGAGGCTGAGGTGGGAGTAGTGTGAAAAGCTTTATGTCAGCCAGGGCTGCATGGAGATACTGTTCTAGAAACTCAAGGAAATGCCATTTCTGTTTCCTTGCCCTTCTCTGCTTCTCAAAGCTACTAACATTCATTATTAGTTTAGGACTTCTTCTGCTCCCCCTGTGACTCTTTCCTGTGAGCTTTCTTTTTTATTTTTCTTTCTTTTTTTAATGGTAATCCAGGGTAATCTGGCTTATTTATTTATTTAGTTTAGAGATTCATGTAATTTGTTTTGAGGATAACTTTGAATTCTTGATCTCCCTGCCTCCCAGGTTTACCATCATGTCTAGCTTATCCTGTATGTTTGTATTTATTTATTTATTATCTGTAACTGGAAATGAGATCTTGAAAAGGAAAAGAAAACATCTTAGCTGGTATAATGGTGCATCCCTTTAATCTCAGCACTCTGGAGGCAGAGGCAGGCTGATCTCTATGAGTTTGAGGCCAGGCTGATCTGTGTAGAGAGTTCTAGGACAGACAGTGCTACATGGACCCCATCTACAAGAGATCTTAAGTAAGAGAGATGGGAAATAGGGAGGGAAACAGAATGCATATAATAGGAAAACAGAAAGGGGGCTGGCTGGGGGAAGATGGGAACTATCTGGGAGACATGAGAGGGGTGGGGGGAAGCAATGGGGGAATAAACAGAATGAAGTATAAGTATGTATAACAGAGATGCCACAATCAACCCATTGCTCTGTATGCTAATCCTAAAACAGTAATAATAATCTTATGACATGAAAAAATAAAATGAATACTTTTTTTTGTTTGTTTTTTGAGACAGGATTTCTCTGTTTAACAGTCCTGACTGTTCTAGAACTCATTTTGCAGATCAGGCTGGCCTCAACACAAATAAAATGAAACACCAGGGTGCCCGCTTTAATTCTATGCAACATTAATTCCCTTTTGCCTTACAGCCTTATGTAGTCACGAGTTTTAAGCATCGTTGGAAACTGATGCTTGTATACACCACATTCTCTGCAATAAAAGTAGTAGATGTGATAAGGAGCAGCCAAGGAGCGCGGGGGCAGCTGTCAAGGAAGAGATAGGGACTTGAAAGCAGCAATCAATACCACTTGGAGGTCAAACCATAAGACTCTAAATGTAACCACTGGGCTTAACGTCCTGGTCCTACTTACCACTAGGTGTCAGGGTAATGTTCTGGGGCACCTAAATTATTATGTGATAAGGAAGACTGGAAATATAGAAACCTTCCCAAAACATACAGTAGGGGAGAAAGGTAGGGGAGCTAGTGAAGGAACTCCATGCAAATGGGAAGGATGGAGAGGTGGACAATATAGAACATATATATGGGTCCTCGATGTCTGGATATCTGTAAAGGTGAAATAATATCAGAGGGATTATTGAGTTGATTCAGGCTCAGGTTTTGCCAAGAGGGCACCACAACAGTACCAAGGTCTGGGAAACTGCCAGCAGTGTGGCCAAGATAACGGAATTTATTGTTAAAGAGCTCAGCCCACAAGGGGAGCTGGTGAGAGACGAGGGATGGCTGGAGGCTACCTGGAAGCTCAGATTATAACCCAATGGCATCTGAAATAATTTCAGGGAAAATGCTTCCTGAATCGCAATACAGTTTGCGCTGGATTCCATTAGTCCGTTAATCTCTAGACATGCTAAATGCATAGAGAGCGGGCTAAGCACCGCCTCATTAATAGAAGCTTTACAACTCTGGAGACTCCATTTCCCTTGATGTCGTTCAGCCTCTCTCTCTCCGACTACGATTCCCATCATGCCTCGCAGCTGCCAGACCAAGAAATTCCCTCCCCCTCCCCCCCCCACCTCCCGGTCCCTTAATCCAGTTTACCAGCCCAGCATTCCTAGCTGTTGAGGACAACCAATTGGATAGAAGAATGCCCACCGGCGGGGCAGAGGGGCGTGTCCAATCAGGCCCCGCCCCCGCCCCGTGGCGCGTTCTTCCCTCCTGCTCCTGGTCTGGACTGCCGACATGGGCACCACCTGGAGGAGCCCGGGACGCAGGCGCCTGGCCCTCTGCCTCGCTGGTTTAGCGCTCTCGCTGTACGCGCTGCACGTGAAGGCGGCGCGCGCCCGCGACGAGGATTACCGCGCGCTCTGCGACGTGGGCACGGCCATCAGCTGTTCACGCGTCTTCACTTCTCGGTGCGTGCAGAAATGGAAAGCATGGGGTCCTTGAAGGCCAGGTGTACCTGACGGCCAGGTTGCCGGATGATTTTGGAGTCTGGGATCGCAGTGTCCGCAGAACAGACACTTTGAGAGCGAACTGCCCCAGGAGTTTTTGGTGGGTAATCGGACGTGCACAGAGGCTGGACCACTCAGATAACCGGTGTTTGAACGCTTTCTAAAGATGCCACTGAATTGGCGCACGCCTTTAATCCCAGCACTCGGGAGGTAGAGGCAGGCGGATCTCTGTGAGTTCGAGACCAGCCTGGTCTACAAGAGCTAGTTCCAGGACAGCCTCCAGAACCACAGAGAAACCCTGTCTCGAAAAACAAAAAACAAAACAAAAAAAAGATGCCAGTAAATAACTGGAAAACTGGAGGAGTTAGGGCAGACCTCAATGGAGATTGAGGATGATTTGGAATGGCACAAAGCAGCGGGAGGAGGTGGTGAAGCATTGCTGTGCTCAGGGACAAAGGTGACTTGCTCACTCTGGTCGAGCTAGAGGACCGGATGTTAGTGGGTGGTGATGGAACTCTAGCTTTGTAGGTCCAAAACAAATAGATTGTGCTCTAGATGTCCCAGTGTGGTCACACAAAGCACGATCAAGATGAAAAAATTAAAAAACAAAAAAACCCCTACATTTGTTTGTTTGTGGGATGGCATGTACATGCCACTATATATGCTTGTGGAAATCGGAGGTAGTTCCCTCCTACTTTGTGGGTCTTGGGGATTCAACCCAATTGACAGGCTTAGCAGCCAGCACTTTTATTTACTGAGTCATCTCATCAGCTCCTGAAGTTACTGATGGTCTGTGATGACAAGCCGGGATAGAGTCAGTGACATGGCCAGAAGGTCACTGACCTTTGAATTCTTGGTGGGTGGAGAGTCTTGCTAATCCCAAGAGGCACTAGGCTGACCGAACTTACATGGATTCTTTTCGCTCCCGCCAGGTGGGGCAAGGGCTTTGGGCTGGTGGAACATATGCTAGGAACTGACAGCATCCTCAACCAATCCAACAGCATATTTGGTTGCATGTTCTACACCATACAGCTGTTGTTAGGTGAGTGGCTTTGTCCCTTCATGACCTGTCTTCCCCAATCCAGATCAGCCCCACCCCATGTCTTGGTGACCCAACAGTTGACAGCCAGCTACTAATCATTGAGCAACCTGGTCACAAGGAGACAAGAAAGGAGGACACTAGCAGAGATATCCTCGTTAGTTTAGGAAGCCAGAGGCTGAATGGCCCTCCAAAAAATGGTATTTTTTTTCTTTTTATTTGGTTTTGTGTTTTGATTTGCTTTGATTCGGTTTTTCAAGACAGGGTTTCTCTGTAGCTTTGGAGCCTGTCCTGAACTCCATCTGTAGACCAGGCTGGCCTTGAACTCACAGAGATTTGCCTGCCTCTGCCTTCCTGAGTACTGGGACTAACGGTGTACTCCACCACATCCAATTGGTTTTTGTTTTGTTTCTGACAAGGTCTCAATGCATTCCAGGTTGACCTTGAACTCCTGAACCTCCTGCCTCCATCTCCCCAGTGCATCCAGTTTTAAAATGCTTTTTGAAGGGACTCCAAAGGTGACTTGTGTTTCATTGAATATAGAGTTTAGCAGGAGTACTTACTGTTTGGGTCCCAAGGATTATTGAACAGATGAGGCCCATTAGATCCTCTCTTAGAGAACTTTCACCAAATACATGTGCCATCCGTCTGTCACTGGGGAAGTATGGCAGAGTTCTAGATGTACCATTGCTGACCCTCTCTTGTTTTACAGGTTGCTTGAGGGGACGTTGGGCTTCTCTCCTACTGGTACTGAGTTCCCTGGTGGCCTTCGCTGGTTCTGTCTACTTGGCCTGGATCCTGTTCTTTGTGCTCTATGATTTCTGCATTGTTTGCATCACCACCTACGCCATCAATGTGGGCTTGATGTTGCTTAGCTTCCAGGAGGCGCCAGAACACAAGGCCAAAAGGCACTGAGGTCCCTCCACTCCACATGCTAGGCTAATGTAACCTGCTTTGCCTTAGCACATGAGCCTTGCCCAAGAGGGTCGTGTGTCAGTCCCTAGAAGGCCCTATTCCTTTCATTCCAATCCCCCTCCGCAACCACACACAGAACAATGACCAGATGCCCCTACAAGTTCTGTTCCCAAGGGCTGCTTTCTGCTCTTGGCTAAAGAGAATGGTTTTGAATAATAAATTTTTCTAAGTTGATCAAGTCTGAAGCATATGTCTACCAGAGACCCTTTGGGGTGTTGGTCTTTCCCTGTTTTGCCTTCTCTGGTACGGGGATGAGTCAAAATGGAGGGCCTGTCTGGGAGGGGGTGGCTGCATCATCCCCAGCATGTGTAGTCAGCAAAATCTGGCACATCAGCCCCCACATCCAGGAAACAAGCTTGTGCCTGCTGCCTATGGATCAGACCTCCTGTTGTAGGAGGGCCTGTCACACACCTGGAGGGCAAGCTTGCTTGGAACTTACTTAAAATTTATTTTTATTTTATGTGCACTGGTGTTTTGCCTGCCTATATGTCTTTGTGAGGACACCGGCTCCCCTGGGACTGTAGTTCCAGGCAACTGTGAGCTGCTATGTGGATGCTGGGAATTAAACCCAGGTTCTCTGGGAAGAGCAGCCAGTACTCTTAACCACTGAGCCATCTCTCCAGCCCTGCCTGGAACTTCTATAGTTCAACTTGAACCCCTGCAACTACCTTACCTATCATCCCAAGCAGTCTTAACACCTGCACAGGGTCAGGCTAAGATTGTTCTGTTTTTCCTAATGTATACTAAGGACTTGATATCCCAAGCACTAAGAACCTGTGATAGTTAATTTAATCCTCAAGTGTAGGAAATAGTCACTACCATTGTTTGTATATTAGCGAGGCACCTTAGGTCGAGAAGTTCTGTGCTTGGGGCAACATGTCTAGTACTGGGAAAGAGTTGGGGAGGGAAATCTCAGACTAACACACATCCCGAAATTGACATTGCAGGGTTTTGCACATGCTAGCCAAGTGCTCTACTACTGAGCTGTGCTCTAGCCTGTCTCCTATCTGGGCTGCTTGGCTCTATCTGCTCTAAAGTCTGCTTACAGTTGCCTCTGTATTGGAGTCAGGGTTCCTGAATGGTGGAGCTAGCCTAAGTGAGGCGTGGGACGGTCCTAACCTCCATTTGCAAGAAAAGAGAGCAATGCTTTGCTGGCAAGGCTGCAGGCCCAGAGAGAGGTTGGCATGAGACCCACCCACCCCTTAACACACAGCCCTGCCCTGTACATGTTCTCTGAAGCAAACCTATGGAAGTGTATGAATCCTGCCTAGCCTTGGCCTGAGAGAGTCAGGGAAGCTGAAAGGGAGGATCTAAGGAGTCTGCCACTGCTCCACAGGTTATGTTTTCATGCAAGAAGTAACTGGACTAGCAGTCAGAAGTCAACACTTTGAGATTGGTTGGTTCGTCTTGCTCTATAGTCCAGGCTGGCCCAGAATTTGGAAGGTAGATCAGGCTAGCCTTAAACTCAAAATTCTGCTCAGCCTCCAGGTACTAGGATTACAGATGTATACTACTATACTGGGCTTTTAAGAATTAAAAAAAAAAAAAAAAAAAAAAAAAAAAAGCTGGACCTTTAATCCCAGCATTCAGGAAATGGAGACAGGTAGATCTCTGTGAGTTCGAGGCCAGCCTGGTTACAGAGCAAGTTCCAGGACAGGCTCCAAAGCTACACAGAGAAACCTTGTCTCAAAAAACAAAGAATTGAAAAAATGATTTTCTGTGCATGAGTATTTGCCTGCATGTGGGTCTGTGTACCACATATGTGCCTAGCGCATGGAGAACGGAGAAGAGTGTTGGAGCCCCTGGAACTGGAGTTACAGGTGGTTGTCAGCTGCTGTGTGGATTTGGAAATCAAATCTGGATTCTCCAGAAAGAGCAGCCAGTGAAAAAAACCAAAGAGCCAACTCTCCAGGCCCCTAAGCACTTTTTGTTGTTGTTTGTTTTGTTTTATTTTTGTTTTGTCGAGACACGTTTTCTCTGCATTGTTTTGGATGCTTTTCTGGAACTAGCTTTGTAGATCAGGATGGCCTCAAACTCCCAGAGATCCACCTGCTTTTGCCTCCCGAGTGCTGGGACTAAAAGCATGAGCCACTAATGCCCGGCTGCCTCTAAGATTATTATTATTATTATTATTAATAAAGATTATTATTTGTTTAGAGAGAGAGAGATTGTGTGTGGAAGCGTATGTTGAATACCATGATGTGTGTGTGTGTAGAGTTCAGCTTGCAGGAATCCTTTCTCTACCATGTGGGTCCCAGGAGTCAAACTCAGGTCATTAGGCTTGGTGGCAAGTGTCTTTGTGCTGGCCCCCTATTTTGTTTATGGGCCTGGTGAAATGGCTCAGAGATTCACCAGCCTCTGCCTCCCAAGTTCTGGGATTAAAGACCTGCACCACCACCACCTGGCTAAAATTCTTTACTTTTATTCTGTGCCTATGAGTGTTTTACCTGCACATATGTCTGTGCACCACATATGTGCCTGGTGACTTAGGAGGGCAGAAGAGGATGTCAGATCCCCTGGAACTGGAGTTATAGATGGTGTGAACTGCCTTATAGAGTCTGGGAATCCAGCTGTTAACTGTTGAGCTACTTCTTCAGCCCCCACTCCCCAAAGCTCTTGAGTTTTTCAGGCAAGGTGCAAGCAACTTCTTTGTTCAAAGTCACTAGTGCAGTAAATTTGAACTGGGGAGAACTAGGATTTGAACTGGGTGAGTGTGGCTGGTGACAGATGCCCAGAGAGGAGTAAGGACCACACAACCACAGCCCCTGGCTGTTGGTTCCCTTCTAGCCCAGGAAAAGTAACACCTGACTCTTAGATGACTGGGGGCGGAGCGGGGGGCGGAGCCAGGGAGACCCAGGTAGCCTCTCTGAGAACAAGAACACTGAGTAGCCTGAAGCAGCATGAGGCAGAGCTGGGGACCAGGGCTGCTTATTGTGGGAGCTGTAGTCCTAACAGAGGGTAAGTCACTCAAATAGACTGAAGTTTGGTATGTAAGGGATCCTGAGGGGCTATAATCTCCCTGTGGATGTCCTTGGCTAGGTGTCTATGTGTGTGTGAGGGGGGTTGTGGGAGTGAGAGGAAGTAACATACAGCCTGCTGTTACAGCACTTTAGAAGAACTTGTGTCTATCAATACATTTAATCCTTATACAACAGTTCTTTGAGGTGAGGAGACTGAAGTACAGAGAAGCTAAGTGATGTGCCTGAGACCACAGCCTGTGCCTGGGTTGGGAAGGGAGGAGCTGATCTCATCTGTGTGTAGGTGGCGATCTCATCTGTGTGTATTTTGCCCCATCTGATCCTCTACTTGCAGAGTGACCTCAGGCATGCTCTGGCCCCACTGGCTTGGAGCTGTCCATGCTAACTTTGCTTCAGAGGTACAGTGGGCCTATTTGTGTGAGTCTGTGATGGGTTACAGGCAGGGCAGGGACCCTCTGGAAAGGTCAGCTCTGGAAATGCAGTTTGATTCATGAGCACAGGGGTGGAGTGAGTCTCACTTGGGGCCTCCTCCATTTTGGACATGACACAGGCCTCTAATCTACCCTCTTAGGCTTCCACAGCTGAAGGGACAATTAAGCTAAAGTCTTTCACATACACAGGCCACCTCCCTGACTCAGTGGTGGGGGCAGGAGTTAGGGGTTCATAAGCCTGGAGGGTTGGCCTGCTCCCAAGGTAAATCTCAGGTCTTGCTTCTTGGGCCCAGGAGTGCTGAGCACAGCTCAGAATTAATGGCTGCGTAATCTGAATGAGCTCTAATAAAAGCTGCTTTTCAACCTCATATAAATATTTTCATTCTGGGAGGGGCTGGTAAGGTAGCCAGTCATAAATAAAGACCCAGGGCCTGTCCTTCAACTCATCCCCTCCATCAAGCCTGGACCTGGCAGTTAAGTCTCCTCCACATCTTGTGTCTTTTCCTTTCTAGGTCTTCAAGCAGCTCAGCGTGGTAAGTGGTGGGGACATGGGGCCTGGGCTGTACTCACGGATGATGGAGGGGGAATGGTAATATGTGGTCCTGAGGTCAGGACAGTGTCTGCAGTTAGTAGGACTCACCCTTCTCTACAGCATGTGGGCAGCGTGGCCCTGGCCCTCCGGAGCCTCTGGAAGGCAACACGTTACTTGGTGAATGGCCTTGGCAGGCCAGTGTGAGGCGGCATGGGGTACATATCTGCAGTGGCTCCTTGGTGGCAGATACCTGGGTCCTCACAGCTGCTCACTGCTTTGAAAAGTGAGTCACACTTTGGTTCAGTCTTTCAGTTTGAGGGTGGGTTTGTCCCTGTACCTCCCCCACAAGACTGTTTTTTTTTTTTTTTTTTTGCCTCTAGAATAATGAAGTATCATTTGTGGAGAATGCTGTGTAGCTGACATGCTACCAGTTTAACTTTAGCAATCTCTCATGGTAGAAGCTTTCTTTACAAAGGAGTAAATTGGCCAGGCAGTGGTGCCGCACGCCTGTAGTCCAAGCACTCCGGAGGCAGAGGCAGGAGGGTCTCTGTGAGTTCGAGAACAGCCTGGTCTACAAAGTGAGTTCTAGGACATCCAGGAGGACACAGAGAAACCCTGTCTCAAAAAAAAAAAAAAAAAAAAAAAAAAAAAAAAAGAAAGAAAGAAAGAAAAGAAAAGAAAAAAGAAACTGAGAGGAGGGAACTGTGTTGAAAGCCACATGCTGTATCTGCTCATCTCCCCTGCCTGTGCTGTTCACCAAGTTGTTATATTTCCATTGGCACTCAGCTGTCTGGGCCTTGCCCTTCTCCTTTCAGGGTGGCCACAGCAGAACTGAGCTCCTGGTCTGTGGTCCTGGGTTCTCTGAAGCAAGAGGGGCTGAGCCCTGGGGCTGAGGTGGTGGGAGTTGCTGCGCTGCAGGTGCCCAAGGCCTATAATCACTATAGCCAGGGATCAGACCTGGCCCTGCTCCAGCTCACCCATCCCACAGCCCATACAACCCTCTGCTTGCCCCAATCCACCCATCACTTCCCCTTTGGAGCTTCTTGCTGGGCCACTGGCTGGGACCAGAACACCAGTGATGGTAAGTACTGTCCCAGATAGAAGCCGACAGAGGCGCTCTTCTTGCCCAGGCCCAGCTATCTGGGCCCCAGGTCCCATTGCTTCCCAGAGCTAGACTCAGATTTCTCTCCTTTGGCAGTGTCCAGGACCCTACGCAATCTGCGCCTTCGTCTCATCAGCCGCCCCACCTGTAACTGCCTCTACAATCGGCTGCACCAGCGGCTGTTGGCCAGCCCAGCGAGAGCTGGAATGTTGTGTGGGGGTGCACAGCCTGGGATACAGGGACCATGCCAGGTCTGATAAGTACAGGGAAAAAGGGAGGGCCTAATTTTGGGCTAAGGGCTCACAAAGGGTGACCACAAGGCATCTGGTCAGTGTTGGGTCTCAGGTGACTCCTTTGCCTGGCTTCAGGGAGATTCTGGGGGACCTGTGATGTGCCGTGAGCCTGATGGACACTGGGTCCAGGTTGGGATTGTTAGCTTCACATCAAGATGTGCCCAAGAGGACACTCCAGTGCTGCTTACTGACATGACTACTCACAGCTCATGGCTGCAGGACCACGTTCATGGGGCAGCTTTCTTGGTACAGGGCCCTGGGATTTCGGAAAGCAGTGATGAGAACAGCTGTGTAGGTAGGTCTTTGCATGGGCATAGGAAGTGGGGTGTATGGGGACACCCAGCACACATGAGGGCTTCCTGGGCAGTGGGTAGAAGCCACAAGAAAGCAAACCAGCTCAGACACAGAGTCTGGACACTGCCAACAGAGAACCAGGTTTGTTAAGGCACCTTTTAGTTCCTGGGATAGTAACAGCTCTCTTGGTCCAGGAAGCTTTACGGACTTGGGTATGTGTTTCTGAAATCTGGCTGGTTTCAGGGGGAAAGCTGCAAGTTTCCAGGCAGAAATCCAGGGAGGTGAGACAGAGCAGTGACTGCAACGCAAATTGCATGCAAAGTCATTCCAGGGAAGGAAGCTGGGTTCTGATGCTTAGAACAGCACTAGCAAGCGAGGAATTTTAGGGCTGATCCAGGCTTGGGGAAATACAGGTGGGTGGGGGAGTGGGGCAGAGACCTTCCATGTAGGGCTGGCATGGATTACTATCAGACATCAGCATGCACATTGGCTCTGAATCCAAGTAGGCTACCTGATTTTGGTTATAGAGCTTGGTTAATCTATTGTTAGCTTGGTTACCTTTGGTAAGGAGGCTGAGTCAAGTGAGAAGAGGGTACTGGGAAGACCTGCTGACATACAGAAGCACTCAGCACAGGCCCTAGCACTAAGTGACCATTTAACAAACTGGATGATGTAATTCACCTATTTCAGCATGTGGCTCCTTGAAGGGTGGAGGCCCCCAGGCAGGAGCCCTCTCTCAGTGGCCCTGGGATGCCAGGCTGAAGCACCATGGGAAGCTGGCTTGTGGTGGAGCCCTGGTATCAGAAGTGGTGGTGCTGACTGCTGCTCACTGCTTTATTGGGTGAGCCTTATGTCTCTCTCTTTTGTGCCTCTTGCCCAAGCTCTGTCACTCAGTGCTATCAACTCTGCCTCTCAACAGGCGCCAAACCCTAGAGGAATGGAGTGTAGATCTGGGGGCTGGACCAGAGGAACGGGGCCTGAAACAACTCATTCTGCATGGAGCCTACACCCACCCAGAGGGTGGCTATGATGTGGCCCTCGTGCTGCTGGCTCAGCCTGTGACATTAGGCCCTGATCTGAGACCCCTTTGCTTGCCCTATGCTGATCACCACCTGCCTGATGGTGAACATGGCTGGGTTCTTGGGCTGACACAAGGAGCAGGTACATAGTAATGGGGACTCTGGCAGTTGTCCATTGTACTTGCAGGCAACTGAGGCATCTAGCCTCGTCCTTTGCTTTTATAGGCAACAACTACTACACTCAGACAGTACCTGTGACAGTCCTGGGGCCAATGGCCTGTAGGCAACAGCATGCAGCCCCTGGCAGCACAGGCATTCCCATTCTGCCAGGGATGATATGCACCACTGTTGTGGGTGAGCTGCCTCAATGTGAGGTGAGTTCAAATTCCCAATCACCCAGCAGACCCCTGGCTTTCTACCTAGCTTGGCTGCTAGCCCTGCTTTCCCTCCTAAAACTAAACCCTGGGGCCAGCTGCCCCCAAACATCCCGCCTGCAGCCCCCAAGCTCCTCCTACCTACTGCAGAAAGTTACCAAGTGTAACCTACTCTCTAACAGGGCCTATCTGGGGCACCACTCATCCACGAGGTTAGGGGCACGTGGTTCCTGGCTGGACTGCACAGCTTTGGAGACGCCTGCCAAGGCCCTGCGAGGCCTGCGGTCTTTGCAGCACTCTCTGCCTATGAGGACTGGGTCAGCAATCTAGACTGGCAGGTCTACTTTGCTGAGGAGCCAGAGCCTGAAGCTGAGCCTGGAAGCTGCCTGGTCAACTCAAGTATGTGTCGCTATTCACGCTTCCTCTTCAGCCCAGCTGCCCCTGGTGTGGAGTACAGCAAACAGACAGAACCACATGGACTTTAGGCAGCACGGGTTCAGCTTCTTGGTCTTCAGGTCTCCCATACACCACAGGGGCCAAGATGGATCCTGCTTCTTCAAAGGAACGAAGAAAGCTATAGGGATGGGGCCAAATTAACTTCCCTCCTCTCCTTGACAGGCCAGCCAGTCAGTTGTTGACTGGTGACTCTAGTTTACTCACAAGACGCCAGAAAAGCCAGGCAACTCCCACGTCCGTCCGACACCCAATTCGAAGCTCCTGCCCTTCCCTGTCTGGTCCTGTGGTTCCCAGCCCTGAGGCAGCTCCAACAGCTGTCTGGCTGGGAATGTGCCTGCCCAGGGAAGCTTTGCATGAGAGGCCATGACCCCACCCCCAAGCTCTGCTTTTCAAGAGATGTCTCCAGTATTCCCTAACAATCCTTCAGACACAACCACACCAGCAACTGTTGTGGAAAAAAAAGTGGTTATTTTTTTTTTTGGGGGGTGGGGAGGGGGTGGGGAGCAATTTTCCTTTTTTAAAACTTAAATAAATTGTTACAAAATAGATTTCAGAAAATAAGTTACAAACTATAGTAAAAGACCCCCTCCACAGGCACCCTTCCCATCTGTGGTGAGCTCTGAATATACGCCTCTCCCTGGGTCAGGGCCTGGCCCTGGAAGAACGGTGACAAAAGCTTGGGAAGGAGATTCTTCACAGATACAGACACGAAGACTACCTCACGCCCTTCTTGAGAAAGAAACCAGATCAGGGTCCTCTGCATGGGAAGAGATGAGGATGCCCAAGCAGCTCCTGAGCAGAATGTGGAGATGAAGCCCCCCTCCCACAGCCTGCCTGCATCCCCAGCTTCAGTGAACTGTTCTTTGGAGACCTGAAGTTCAGAGGGAGAAGTTGAGGTCTGCAGGCCACTGGGGTGAGGGGTTCAGGGGTGAGGCTGCAGATGAGTCCCCTCTGCTTGTTGCTGGTGCCACTGAAGCTCCTAGGAAGAGAAGGAAAAGCGGTCAGTCCTAACCCACCTTTCCAGGCCTACGGGTCCTTCCCTGACATGGCCCTGAGAGAGAGGAGTGCAAGTGGCCAGGATCAAAGCTCACTGTTAATGCGTTCACCTACTGTGTATACACGGCTTTTAGGTACCAGGCCCAACATCTCCCCTCAGCAAAAAGACAAAGCCCAGGAATCCTAGAACCCCTAATTATTTTTACACCCTTGGCTAATAGGCTCCTCACTCATTTTACTTGAAGTCACAAGAAACCCCTTGTCCTCAGAGCCATTTCTTCAGTTCTCAGGGACCATCACCACTATTTTGTCCTCAGCCAAGTTCTGGTCAAGGGCACACCATTTCAGGGACACCCTCCCTCGGTGGGTATAGATGGAATGGATTTCCCTCTCTAGATGTGGAAAATGAGCTTAAGGCTTGCTGAGAACACAGACTGACTGCCCTGAGCCTCCACAGCCTGTCCTTCAATAGGCTGGGTGGAGACCAGTTTACCCCAAGATTCACTGTGATAGAGGGTGAGAGATAGACTAATGAGTGCTGCTGCTCCACTGGGCCTGTCTTCAAAGAAACAATTATCCATGAGTCAGTCCTTCAGTTAAAGGATGTGCTGGGGGAAGGTGCAGGCAGAGGGCAGTGTCATGAGTTCCGTAAGATCTGTAGCAGCGCAGCACTCAGACGGCCCAAAGGCCCCAGTCCCAAGAAAAAAGGCAGAGGCAAACACACACAGGGGAAGAGTCAGAAGAGTGAGCACTGACCAGTAGCCCAGCAAACTGGCCAAGTCAGCAGTAACGCAGCCAGTTAGAGTCACCAGCCGAGCAGGCAGACCCCTTTGCCTTAGCCCTGCAGGTTATTCCCTCATGACAACCTAGGAATCTGCAACCGTCCACCACCCCCTTACTCATTCCCTGGCTTCTTTCTCTAGGAAAGACCAGAACCCAACTAAGCCCATTTCGTCCTTTTCCTCTGGAAGTCATTACTGGCTAAACCAGGATTCCCGGATGTGGAAGTTCCCAGGTATCTCTGCCCACTGGAAGAAAAAACACTGCCCCACCTACCTAGTGTCCATCTTCCTGACCCAGGATTTATACTTCAGTGGCCCCAAACCATTTCAAACTAGTTAGTCCATGTCCAGGCCTCTGGCCACTTAGAAATCCACTTGATTCTCTATTCCCCTTGCTTACCTTACCTACTCAGGAGCATGGTTTCTTTCTACAATGTGTCTGCCTCTTTCTGAGTCCTCTACCCAACCCACTCACCTCACATACCTGAGCTAGAAACTGTCCACTCCTCCTGGTGCTGCTGCTGGTGCTGCAGGAAGCTGCTTTGGTGGCGAAAGTGGCGGGAACAATGAGAACAGGTGAATGGTCCCTCCTGGGGGGCATGGACCCTTCCATGGCCCTGTAGCCGGGCGGCTGTTCGAAAAGCCTTACCACAGATGTTGCAGCTGTAGCGCTTGGGGTCTGTGTGGGTCCTGCTGTGGTTTTTGAGAGATAGTAGGTTGGGCAGAAGCTTAGGGCACAGGGAGCAGGGGTAGAGTCCAGTGGTATGAGCCTTCTGATGGTTCAGCAGGCTACCAGCATGGCGGTAAGAACGCCCACACTGAGCACAGCAAAAGGGACGTCCCTTGTCTTCAGCTGCTGTCAAATTTGTTCCTTGTCCTCCATCAGCTGGCTCTCCATTCTCTTCTGGGTCCCTGGGAGGTTCGGAAGGGGTCTCCTGAGCTTTCCCTGGACCAGGCGGATCCACCGCTACCATCCCAGTTTGTGGGTCTCTGGTCTCTGTCTGACTGTGGTCAACAGCATGAGTCTGCATGTGTGTGGCCAGCTCACTGTGGGACTCAAACACTTTGCTACAGTTACTACAAGCAAAGGTCTGGGCAGCAGTGTGGTTGTGGATAGTAGTGGCCACAGTACTCAATAGCTCTTTGGAACAGTGCAAACAACTGTGACAGTCTTTCTTGTTGATGTCGGGATTAAAGAGGCCATCAGGTTGGCAGTAGGTCTTTCCACACTGGCTACAGCAATAGGAGCGGCTCTCTGGTTGGAGCTGAGAGCTGCTATCTCCACCATCCCAGCTACCCATATAACTTGCAGCAGGACCATTGGACTGGCTCTCAGAGAGGTGACAAGGATTCCTAGAGACAATGTCTTCCAACTTGCCTTCTGGCATGGTTAACTGATCCTGAAGACCCCAGGCACCATTGTGATTCATTTGTCCCCTGTCTCCCTGACACCCATCTACCTTCCCCACTTCCCAAGATAAAGATTCTGTGACTTCTGAACCTGCTGGCCTGCTGGGACTCTGAATGTGTTCCCCAGGCCTCTTGGTTTGGTGCTCCAGCTGCAGGACTGACTGAATACCTTCTGACCTGCCCTCCAGTCCCCAGTCATCAGCAAGGTTCTCCTTACTGCCTTCAATACCTTGTGGGCCTCCCTGGCTACTGGCCAGCTCTAGCTTGCTCTCCTCATGCTCCTGCAGATGCCGCTCCAGAGATCCCTGGCCAGGAAAGCTACAGCTGCAAAGGGTACAACGTACAGCTGCTGCCCTCCGGGGTGCCCGCCGCCGGCGGCTATCAGAATGCAGCCTCTGGTGGTCTTTCAGGGCTGTGCGGTTGGAATAGGTCTTAAAACAGAAGGGGCAGCTATGTTGGCCTGTCTCATGGGTGCACTGGTGGTTCAGGAGGCTGCCAGCATGGCGGTAGTTTCGGCCACATTGCCCACACCTGAAAGGCCTATCCTCACGAATAAATTTCTGGGTGGCCCTACCCTTCCGTCTCTCAGTATGGACCCGCTGGTGGTTGGCCAGCTGCTTCCGCAGGCGAAAGGCTTTCCCACATTCACTGCATCGGAAACGTCGAGGGTCTGCATGGATGCGCCGGTGGTTCTTAAGGGACATGAGGTTTGAAAATCCTTTGGAGCAGGCCTGACAGCCAAAGTGGCCAGTCTGGTGGCTCTGCCGGTGATTGATGAGGCTACCGGCATGCTTGTAGGTACGGCCACATACTTCACAGCTAAAGGGCCGCTCAGAGCTGACTTCAGTTTGACAGCCTTTCTCTGCTGTCTCCAACCTCTGCTCCAGTTCCTCCTCCTTTACAGTGGTCTCCTCCCACACTTCTTCTTTCACTCTTGCCGGCTCCTCCAAGGGTTCCACTTTAAGTTCTTCCTGGAGCTGCCCTATGACTGCCTGTTCCTGCCCTGCCTCATTCTGAGGTTCGTTGCTACTTCCTGCCTCTGAGAGAGGACCCACTTGGGGCTCTGAACCTTTGCAGCGAGGATGGTTCCGCAGATGATTCCGGTAGGCAGCCAGGTTGGGGTAGCATCGAGAACAGACAGGGCAGATGAAGTCACCTGTCTGATGGATCTTCCGGTGGTTAACCAGGCTGCCTCCATGACGATAGGTCTTGCCACACTGGTTACATCGGAAAGGGCGGGGATGGGACTCCAGAAAGCTTTCATCAGCCTGCATGCAAAGGCTGTCTGCAACTGTGCCATCTACTCCCTCCTCAGACTTTGTGTCCCTACCTTCTTCTGAGACAGAGGTCACTGTGCCCTCAAAGACATGATCTGTAACAATTTCTATCGAATCATCTGATCCTTCCAAGTGGCTAGGACCAGTCTCTGTTGTATTGCTGGAACTTTGACTTTGGTGATGACGCTCCAGGCTCCCCAGGTCATCATAGGTCTGACCACAGCAGCCACAAATGTGCCCATAACCTGCTCCATCTAGAGCTTCCACCTCCCGCTGTAGCTGATTCAGCAGTTCTGCTTCTGAGAGCTGTAGGGGAGGACTGTGGACAGAGGCTGCTTCTGCTGTGCCTTCCTCATCCTCTTCTGAACCCTCCGGTATACCTGAAGTGCCATGAACCTGGCGCAGGTGATGTCTGTATCCAGTCCTCCCAGGAAAGATCATACCACACAGACAACAGAGGAAGGGCTGTGCTGTGGCTACCTCCCCTGGCCTGTGGTTCTGGAAGTGACTACGCAGGGCAGGCAGAGAATCAAACTCCTTTGGACAGAGAGAGCATTGATAGATGCCTGGAGGGTGGCAGGACCTATGGCTCAGCAGGTCGGCAGCTTGGGGGAAAGTGTCCCCACAATCAGAACATGTGTGAGTGACTTCAGCCTTCCAGACAGTGTCAGTGTCAGCAGGGTGGGAGGGGTCCAACTGGCAAATGTCTGGCTTCTGGTCACTATCCAGCCCAGGGATGCTATCACAGAAGCCAACTTTACTACTTTCCTCATCACCTGGGGTGTCCACGTGATCAAGGAAACAGGCCTCTTTCTTTTCCAGTCCTTCCTCAATGCCAGTGTCTTCTTTATCAACCAGGAAACAGGCTCCATCCTTTCCAAGCCCATACTCGCTGCCTTTAGATCCCACCTGCAAAGAGTCCTCATCTCTTTCCTGGTTGTCTTCGGCCCCACAAGAACTTTCTCCCAAAGGCTCTTGGGAAGAATCCAGGTCTTCATCATCTTCCAACTTCTGGGCCCAGGTGCCTGAAGGTGCGAGCTTGGACTCTTCACCAGTACTATCTTGTTTCTGATGTCTCCTGTTCCACTGCCGACTGTGACGTCGTAAATGGCTCTTCATGGCAGCCATGGTATGGAAATGCTTAGCACAGGTCCCACAGCTGAAATCTCCTGTCTGGTGGGTCTGCCTGTGGTTGATAAGGCTTCCTGAGTGGCGATAACTCTTTCCACAGTCCCGACAAGCAAATGCTCTAGGTGGTGACACGGTGCTGTCTGTCCTGCTCTTTTCTCCTTGCCCTGCCTTGTGTGTCATGCTATGATGCTCAAGACTCTTGAGATCTTCAAAGAACATCCCACAAATGTTACATATCTGTTGTGTTGCTCTATCTGCTGTGGTCTCCTCTTCATGTTTGTATGCATGTCCCTGATCTGTGTGGGATGCTGCTTCTGTTCCCAGTGGGTCAGGTTGTTCCTTCTTGACAGGGCTAGGTGAACCCTCAGTCCCTGGGTCTGTACTTCGGCGTGTAGCCTTGCAATGTACACGCACATGGTTGCGCAGAGCCATGAGGTTGGGATATTTTCGAGGACAGAGTGAACACTGGTATTCTCCTGTCCGATGGCTGTGGCGGTGGTTCACCAGGCTCCCCCTGTGGCGGTAAGCCCGACCACACTCATTGCACTTATAGGGACGATGGTCCAGGTTGCTTGTAGAGACCTCTTCCTCTTTTTGGGCAGTCTCAGCCAACATAAGGGCAGTTGAGGACACTTCTTCACCAGCTCCTTGCCGGGGCCTATGATGGGCACGAACATGGTTTTTCAGAGCAGCCGCATTGAATAGCTGCTTGGAACAAACTGAACAGGGATAGATACCTGTTTGGTGGCTCTTTCGATGGTTGATAAGACTACCTGCATGTCGGTAAGTACGGCCACAGTCCCCACAACAGAAAGGTCGATACTCCTCTGGGCCACCATCCTCTAGCTGCCCAGAAGTGCTGAGCTCCCTAGAACCATTCAGCACCTGTGCTGTAGGTAGCTGATTCCAGCTCCTCTCATCTGTATGTCCATTCGTGGTAGGCACCACTTCTTCTTCCCATGGCTGTCCCTGCTTTCCCCCCTCATGGGACTGCTGATGTTCCAGCAGATCCCGAGGGAGCCGGAAGGCACGAGGGCAGTGGGGACAGTGGTAAGGCCGGTACTGAGCATGGAGTCGTGAGTGGTTCTTCAGAGCCATGAGGTTAGAAAACTCCTTAAAACAGATGGCACAAGGGTAGACCCCTAGAGTGTGGCTCTGGCGGTGGTTGGTGAGGCTCCCAGCATGCTTATAGGTCTTTCCACATTGGTTGCACTTGTATTTCCGCTCCTCCTCAGCAGGAAGTGGTTCGGTGGATTCCTGGCCCCCTGTGAAGTTCACTACTGATTCAGCCAAATACTGCTCCAAATTGCTAAGAAGGTTGCTAGCTGGAGTGGGGAGTGGGGGCGCTCCATCAGAATTGGTGGTAGGGACCCAGTCCTCTGCACTCTCATTAGGGTCTGGCTGGATTGCTAAGCCTTCTCTTGGTTTGGTTGGTGGGTCTTCCCAAGTACCTGGAGCTGCCCTGGGATCAGCTCCAGAGTCACATTCACGTGTCTCTTGTACATCATTTGTCGGACTGTCCCAGCCTTCCCTAGAAGGCAGCCTCTGACCCCAGGATTCAGTCGACATTGTCTTGCTCTGACGGTATGAAGTGGTTCCCTTGACATGTGGGGTCCTGTGCCTTTGGTGGCCCTCAGGAACATGAGTCCTCATGTGGCTCTGGAGGGCCAGGGGATTAATAAAATCCTTGCCACAGGTGATACAGGGGAAAAGACAAGTTTCGAGGTTCTGCTGGTGGTTGACAGAGGTCTCTGGGTAACGGTAGCCACGCCCACACTGCTGACTTTGAGAGGGGTGAGGGAAACTGTCAGCCTCCTCACTGTCCTGGTTAGCAGATGGATGGAGAAGTTCTCGATGCCGTGACAGTTCTGGGAGGTTAGGAAAGTGGCGCTGACAGTCAGAGCAACTGAATGAAAGGGGCATGTCCTCCATGAGGCAATGTGGTAGAAAAACCTAGATGTTCAGGAGGAACAGACAGGTGGCAGCAGCATTTTTCTCTGCAGAAGGGGCCAAGGCCTAGAAAGAGGGGGCAGTAGTCAGAAGGACTGAATCAGTTTTGCTTCTTGGCTACATGAACACCACATTCAATAGAAGTCACTGAGAGGGTTCCCCCACCATCCATGCCAAGTGACCTGCTTTTTACCAGGTCTACAGGGGCCATCATGTAAAGCTTTACTATGCACACACTTCTAGGAAAGTTCCCCTAGGAACAAGTCATCTCTAGAGCCAGAGATAAGGAAACTAAAGTCTAGAGTCTAGGCTCTAGACAGATCTAACTGATTTTGTTTAGACAGTACATAATAGATCTTACTGTTCCTAAGACTCAGCTCTCTATAATTCTGGGGCAAACTAGCAACAACTTATGAGATTTTAAAATAAACCAGAACTACTTCTGGTTCTGTTGGTGGTGTTGTTTTGAGATAAGGTCTTAGCTCACTCTGTAGCTCAGGCTAGCTTCAAATTCATTAAGTTTCCTACCTCAGTCTCCGGAGAGCTCAGATTACAGGGCAGACCCACAACAGCTGGCCAGGCCTTACAATAAGAGAAGTCCACTTCTTTCTTCACCCTTCCACTAAACTGAATGGTCTGAACGCACTGACAAAGCAGCTGCTTCCTTCAGCTGCCACCTAAGACTTCCTAGATGTTGGTGCTCAGTTTTTCAGCATCACATTTCTCCCTAATGTTATTAAGTATTTGTTTTATTTACTCCCTGTAAATACATGTAATCCCATCCCATCTCAGGTTGCAATTTCATTTTATCCTCTGCTTTTTTTCTCTATGCCCTGCCTGCCTTACCCTGCTGTCACCATTGTTTTTTATTTTCTCTTCTACTTCCTCTCTACAGTCTTAGGATGATAGCAACTCATGCGGTACAGTACCATGTGCTTTTTAATTTGGGGAGGGAGGCATTTCAGACATGGTCTCACTGTATATCTCTACCTTCCCAAGTGGTGGGATTAAAGTCGTGGGCCACCATGCCCGCCTTATAAGTGTATTTATGCCACTAAATCCAATGTCTGTGTTCCCCCAGTTTTCACACAAACTCACTGCACGAGGCAATCTTCATTCCAAAGCTCTCACTTCTCCAGTAGCTGCCACTCATTTCCGCAACATCATCTTGCCTTTCTCCGAGGCTGACTCCAGTCTCCTGGGGTCCTAAAATAACTATTTCTAATCTCACCAGCGGAGTCTGTTCCCGGAATTCTCTTTTCTCAAAACTTCTTCACTTAAAGAGTCCCTTTCCCTAATCAACCACCATCACGATTCTCTAGAGTCATTCGTCTTTTCTGGCAATTTCCTCTCTACATCCCTACCTCGCACCAGGAGTGCCTTCTGGTTCCCGCCGCCGGCGCGTCCGTTGGAGGTCGTGAACGGGAGCGCGCCTGCGCACTGGGACCCTTACTCTAACTGCAGCCGCGAGCCCTAAGTGGTTGCTGGTGCGAGGGTTCTCGAGCTCGCATACACAGGCACACTCAGCCAGGGTTCCCGGGAGTGGTAGATGAGGGAAGGAAGGGGATAAAAGAAGGAGACAGAGGTAACAGGGCACGGCAGGTATGAGCCAAGAGTCTACCCCAGTTCCGCGGACACTTCCTATTGTTGTAGGAATCAGGAAGTGTCCTTGGAGCTAAAGCTTCCCCCCAGAAACTTCCGCCTAGGAACACTTCCTGTCTCTCCGAACAGTGTTTCTACACGGACACGCTTCCGGCGCTATGTTCCGGGTGTGCCCAACTCTGGTTTTTGTTGTTTTTGAGACTGTGTCTAGCTATGCAGCCCAGGCTGCCCTCGAACTTGCAGCAATCCTCCTGCCTCAACCCCTGGAATGTTGGAATTACAGGAGGCGTGAGATATCACGCTCGACTGTGGGAGCAACTCTGGCTCCGCCTACGCAGGTCAGCGCGGCGTTCTGATGGACTTAAGCCACACTTCCGTCCAAAGCTGCTAAAATCGTTGCAGTGCTCGTTCAGTAAGCACAGCAGTAAAAAAATTAACAATAATAATAATAATATACTCTGCAGCCCTGGCTACAGTACTTTGGTGACACTTTCCACGAGGTTCCATAAAAGACTCTTCCCAAAACAGGCGTGTGTGTGTGTGGGGGGGGGGAATCCTAAATTCACTTCTCACTGTTAGAGAAAATGTGGAATACAAATGGATTCAGGCACTGCATAACCTCGGTGCCCTCTCCATATCGTCCCACCTAGCTCTTGGAGACACCTCCGGCGACCTGGAAGTTGTACACCGTTAATCGGCCTGGCGTCCCATCCCCTTAGCACCCAGAGACCCTTCGCGAGATACTTCTCTGCTACTGGAGGCTCGGGGTTGCTTCCGTAAGTTTTTCCTTCCTCTTGAGCAAGGAAGGCGCCCTTCCACTTCCGCTGTCTGGCCGCCGGCCCCGCCCCTAACCTCCCTCTTGCTGGGTCCTAGCGCCGGGCCCTCGCCGAGTATCCCTGGCTCTGCCGGTGCTAGGCACCACCGCCGAAGCTGCGGAGCCTGTGGAAGTCGAACCAGGTAGGACACGTCTGCGGGACGTCTCAAGGGCCTCAGGCAGCGGGCATCAACGCGGTTTGAGCTGCCTTCAGTTTCCTCGCTGATGCCGAGCGGACGGATTTGACCAGGCGCGAGCATCGCGGGCGGGGCGAGCGGTGAGCGGCCTCGGGCGGGCTGCGGGCCCAGCAGGTCCTAGAACCCGCCCGGTGCCCGCCGGTCAGCGCTGTGGATACCTAGGCTCAGCGGACGCGAATGCCGGTCTTGCTCCGCGCGGGCCCGGGGGTCCTAGAGTCCGCCATGTTATTGGCTTTTGTCTGTGCGGCGACGGCCACCTAGCCAAGTCCTCCGCGTCTGCGCGCCCCCCTCCCAGTCCGAGGTCCTGCCCGCCCCTCCCGCGGTCCTAAAGATCGCCATTTTGCAGGTCTTTGTCCTGCTCTCAATCCTCTGTCCATTCATTTGTTCATTCCTTCCTTCTTCATTCATTTTGTTTAGCTACGCTCGCCGAAGCCACGTTATTCTAGGGTTTAGTTCCACATGAGTCAGCATACAGCCCCTCTCTGCGGGGGCTGCCTGTCTGGCGAGGAGACCCGCACAAACACGGTTGCAGAGAGCGAGGAGCGCTGGGTTTCTGCAGCTCTTGTCCCTCCTCAGAGAGTCTGGTAGGCCCTACCGCCCTGCAAACTCCCATTTGCTTCAGGGGCCCCATTAATCTGAAGAAATCAAGGCTAAGAGCATCCCTCATCTTTACTGCTTATTAAATATTTTTGAGGGCACGGAGAATTGGGGAATGGAGTATTGAAAGCATGCAAGGATCTTCCTGTGGGAGAAGGAAAACGAGGGCTCCTGGGCAAAGAGAAATTGCATATGGAAATGGTAAAGTCTGTGAACTGTGATGGAGCTTAGGTTGCTTACCAGTGGGGACACCGCCACAGAAACTGAGGCTGGAAAAATGGGGTCATTTTTGAGCTAACTGGTTGTTAGGCCAAGGATATACTTAAGCATTCACCTCCAACACAGTCCTATCAACTCACCAAAAGGCTCAAGGTCTGTTAGGCTTTTTTGTCGTCTTGAGGAGATTGGGGAATGTAGGTAGGTACCTGTTTTATTTTTTAACCACACCTGCGGCTGGAGTCTGCATTTAACTTGAGAGGCAGCAAATGTCATTCCTCTCACAGGCCAGTAATTACACTGTTCCATCACAACAGCCGCTAATTTAAGTATTGGTGTGATAACTTGCACCCGAGGGCCTTGTAAAGATGGGAGTTTTGGCTAATAAATAGTGACTGAATCTTACAAACTCCTACAATGGAGGAGGCAGAGGCTGTGGACCTGGGTTTGAATTCTACCTGAAGTTTGCTTTCAGTCACCAAACACTTGGGAACATAAAGAACACTTCGAATGGAAGTTCCCTGAACCCCAGTGCTGGAGGCAGAAAATTAACAACCAAATAACAAAGTGCTAATAAAGCAATAATCAAGGGCACAGATGGCAGAAATCTGGGTATATGACTACCTGGCTTCAAAAACCAAATCAATCATGACTAATTATTTGGCATTTCTGTGTTGTCTCTTATTTTAAGAACTTGTTTAATTAAATTTTTATTTATCTTGTACATGTATAAGTGTGCTTGCAGCACGTGTGGAGGTCAGCGGAGAACTTACTGGAGTCTACTCTCTTTCCACCATGTGAGTCCTGAGGATACAACTCAGGTAGTCAGGCTTGGTGAAATGCCTTTTTACCTACTGGGCCCTCTTCTAGCCCCAAGAATATTAATATTACAGGACTACCCTTATGACTTTATTTAGGCTTAAATACTGCTGAAAATACCTTGCTTCCAAACACAGAATTTTAGAAGAACACAAATTTTCAGCTTATAACAGAGTTCTAGGAATTGTGAGATGAGCTTGGGCAGTTGGATCAGTGAGCATAAAATGCTAATGATACCCAGTCCATAACAGTAAGCCTGCAGGTAGTATTTAATTCAGATGGCACCATAAAAAGTTATTTGAAAGGAGAATTTAAACAGTAGTTAGCCAGGATAAAGATATCATTACGTAAAAGAAGTTTATGAGGTGTGGCAGCATACACCTTTAAATCCCAGCAGGCAGTCAGCTCTCTGTGAGTTCCAGGCCAGCCAAGGCTATCTAGTGAAGCCTCATGTCAGTGGTAAAGTGGTAAAGTGCTTGCTTACCAAGCATGCATGAGATTCTAATTTGATTCCAAGCACTGCCAGAAAGAAACGAAGGTAGGTGATCAAAACCAAAGTACATGATCCACACTTGTAATCCCAACACTGAGCAGGCTGAGGCAGGAAGAATTAGGGCCAGCCTGGGCTACATAGTAAGACTCAGCACCCTGCCCCCAAAAGGTAGTCAAGAAAACTTATTTTTTATGTGTACGAGTGTTTTGCTTATGTGTATGCACCAAGTGTATGCCTGTAACTGGAGTTATAGGTGGTTGTGAGCTACCATGTGCATGATGGGAACCAGACCTGGGTCCTCTGGAAGAACAGTCATTGCTCTTACTGCTGTGTTATTTCTCCATTGCCCAGAAAAGCCTTCTTAGGCAGAAGGAGATGTCCAAGCTTGAGACCTGAGTTCAGCCTCCTACACCTGTATGGTAACAGGAGGGACTTGACTCCTGCAAGTTGTGCTCTGGCCACCACAATACACCCTTGTGAGTGTACATACACAGAGACAGTAAATAAATTTTTTAAAGGAAGAAGAAGAAAAAGGAAGGAAGCCTCAGTAAAGGAAGTGTTTGGGAGCTAAAACCCAACAGTAACCAAAGAGATGAGACACAAAGATGCTCGGGAGACTTCGAAATAATGGTTCTGCCCAAGAGAAGGGCTGGTATAAATACTCTGAGGTGGGAAGAAATTGGAGTTGAAAATGAGGACAAGAGGTGTGAGTGGGTGTCGCCTAGTGATGGAAACAGGAATTGAACAGAGCGAAGCAGGAGTGAGATGGATTAGTGATCTGCTGATCATAGGGAAATACTGGTATTTGTCCTAGGAAATGTCAGGATTTGACTAAAGATTTCAAGTGAATAGTGATGAAAGAGTCTAACTCAGGGTTTGAAGTTTAAGTTTTGACTCTGGGCATCTCTGTGCACTTTTTGCTTTGTGAGGATTTAAAGTAGAGTTGTAGTAAAAACACACTTTAAAGCAGAGTTGTAGTAAAAATGTGTCCCTCCTAGAATCACTTGAAGACCTAGGAGATGAGTCTGTCTGTTTATCTATTTTTATTTTATTTTATTTGTTTGTGGTACTAAGGATAGAACCCAGTGCTCGACATGTGTCAGACAAATATCCTGTCTCATTATCTGAGTCTTAATGATTCACAGGGTTTGTTTAAAGTACAGATTGCAGGGCTGGAGTGGGTTAAAACACTAGCCATACAAGCCTGACAATCTTGAGCTTAAGCCCCCAGCACCCATGCAAAAAGCTGGATTTGGTGGCAAACATCTGTACTCCAGCACTGCTATAGGAGTTGGGGTGCAGACAGGAGAGTGGTCAGGGACCGGGCCAGCTAGCTTGTCTGCAGTACACAGGGTAGCAACAGACACAATGAGAGACCCCAGTCAACAAAGTGAAAGGCAGGGACTGACTCGCGCACGCGCACAGCTGAGAGTGATGGCACATACTTTTACTCCCAGTACTCAGAAGGCTACAGCTGGTATATCTCTGAGTTCAAGGATAACCAAAGTTACAGAGAAACCCTGTCTTGAAGAAGAAGAAAAAAAAAGAACTCTGAATGTGTGTGTGTGTTGGTATGTGCAGACAGAGGACAGAGGAAAATGTCAAATCGGCTGGAACCTGGAATGGCAGGCCGTTTTGTGAGCTAACATTGGTGTTGGGAACTGAATTCATATCCTAGAGCAGTGGTTCTCTGCGGTGACCCCCCAACCATAATATTATTTTCATTGCTACTTTGTAACTGTAATTGTTATGAATTGTAATGTGAATGTGTGTTTTCAATGGTCTTAGGCAACCCCTGTAGAAGGGTTGTTCCACCCACAAAGAGTTGAGACCCAGGGGTTGAGAACTACTGCTCTACAAGATCAATGAGTGCTCGTAACTGCCTAGCAGCCTAACTGCCTGTGACTTTTCTTTTTAATCTCAAAGAATAAGAATACAAGTTATAGTGTTCCACATCATCTTCCTTAGATGATGGTTCTCTTTGTTCTCCCCCACCCCCTTTCTTTTGAAACAGGGTTTTTCTGTGTGGCCTTGGCTGTCCTGGAACTCTGTAGCCCAGGCTGGCCTCCAAACTCACAGAGATCTGCCTGCCTCTGCTAGTGCTGGGATTAAAGGTGTGTGCCACCAGTGTGCAGCCTTTGTGTGTGTGTGCATGTATTAGGACATGTCTGTAGGTGACCAAGGAGGCCAGAAAAGGGTATCAGATCCCTTGGACCTGAAGTTACAAGTGTTTGTGAGCCTCTCATTGTGGTACTAGGAACTGGACTCAGGTCCTGTAAGAACAGCAGGGCTCTTAACCACAGGGCCATCTCTCCAGCCCTTTGTTTTTGTTATTTAAGTCAGGATCTTGCTTTGTAGCTCAGACTGATCTTGAATTAATGATCCTCTAGCCTCAGCCTCACAAGTATTAGGATTGTAGGTGTGCTTCCTAGATGAGGATTTTGGTGCAGGGGTTTGTCAAACTCACATGGAAAAATACCACTCTTTGCAAGGGTGGGTTCGATGAGGCATAACCTGGCTCTCCATTCTTCATGGAGCTAGGTGCCTGCTAGTACCCACTAGACACTTCGCTACCATTTCTCCTCTTATGTGCCTTAGGAGGGATTTACCTCTCCATCAGAATGGAAGACTGAAGCACATACCTGGCATGGGCCAGGATAGGGGCCAGAGCTCAAGATTAGCAAATCTGAGTTAGACAACGCTGGCTCCTGGCTCTTGTCTCAGGGCAGTGTTAGCAAGACGAAAGAAAGTATAGGTGCAACATGAGCTTGGACTCCTGCACAGTAGATCTGGTCTTAGACTTCTGAGCAAGGGTTCAAACATTTTAAACACCCAGAGTCAAGTCTCAGCTATGGGAAATTTATAACTATGACTTGATAAGTCTCTTTACTCTTAGAAATTAATTCAATCTCTATAAAATGGAGTCAGTGATTCCTGTTTCAGGCAGTATAAGAAGTACATAAGGCGCCACACCCAGCTGCCTGGCTCTGAGATGACTCCATAACTGAGGGGAGCAATCTGGTTCTGGTCAGTCCATGAGTTAGTTATTTTTACCTCCATTTTTCAGTCGAGAAAACTGAGGTTCTAAGATACACAACAGTAAGTTGTACAAAAAGTCACATCAGCTGGGATGTGGTGGTGGCTAGATTTGAAGCTGGGCATTCTGCCTTCAGAGTGTATTTAGTTACGCTGAAGTACTGTTTCTCTGGATCTTGCTTTCTTGTTTCTTGTGGTGCTGATGGAAGGATGAGTTGATATATGCAAAAAGGTTGGGTTGCTGTGGAATTTGGCAAGTACTTAGTAGATGTGAGCTTTTTTTATTTAAAGCAGTTCTAGGGATCAAGACCAGCTAAGCCTCATATACCCTCACCCTGGTTTTTGTTTTGTCTTTTTCCTTTAGGAGAAATTTAAGAGGCTAAGGATGTGTCTCAGTGGTACAGCACTTGTCTTGCCTGCACCAGGCCCTGGGTTCAAGTGTCAAAAACGTCCCTCCTCCCCCCCAAAAATGCTTCCTGGTAGTGGGACTGACCCTAAGGAGCGTCTCACTCAGGCTCCCTCAGTCAGCCAGGTAAACTCCTTCTGTGGACCTTTTCTGGAATAGGTCCCGAACACCCCCCACACACACTCCCAGGCTTAGTTCAGGTCCATCTCCTTGTCCACCCCAGCTGCTCTTGTGGTGTGCAGATAAGGACACAGGTTTATAAACATATCCTAGTAAATGATCCACAAGCCTGAATGTAGATCTCTGGCATGCCACCCTCTGGGCACACCTGGTTCTCCCTGCCCCAGCCCCATATCTAAGATCCTTTTAAGAGGATCTGCCCTAATCCTCTTCCCTTCATCCCTCCGGAGGATGAGCGGGTGTTAAAAACCAATGCAGCTGTTAATCCTATTTTTTCCCAACTATGATCCTAGGAGCAGCTGTGTGGATGTTGTCTGGGCTCTTGGCCAGAAAGTAGGGACTCAGCAAGAGCTAGTATCCCAGGAGGCCTCGATAGCTCAGACACGTCAGTTGTGACTGAGAAAGGCTCTGACTGCCAGCAGTAAGTCATACTGCTTTGACAGTGAGTGAGCTCCTCATTTCCAGAGTTTTGGAGCAGGGACTAAAAGGGATTCCAGCTCAGATGAACCAAAATTCCTGTCTGGGGTGGAGTCCCTATGGCCATGCATGGTCAGACCAGCTGAGGGAGGGTGTGCACATATCAAGACCTGTTACCTCCAAACATGTCCAGCCAGCCTGTCTAAATATTGACTCCTGTCTCTACCCAAGGCTGTCTTCCCTTAGTGCTGGGAGACCTTCAAGCCTTGGCTGTAACTGAGAAAGAAGATTGTGAGAGTAATGAAACCTAGGCATTCCGGGGATGCCAGAGTTAGAAAACAGGGTAAGGACTAGAATATAACTGGTGCTTTTGTGGTTCTGGCCCCTTATTGGTTTCCACCCCTAATAAGAAGATCACGGGGGAGACTTGAACACAGTATCAACTTGGGGACCATTAGCATAAAGGTTTGGGCTGAGGAGCCCCAGGTTTGGAAGTTCTGGTATGATCCAGTTCTCTTTGAGACTAGAGAACTGGCTTAGGGTAAGAGCACTTACGGTTCTTGTAGAACATTCAGGTTTGATTCCTAGCACCCATGTGGTAGCTCACAGACTGTAATTCAAGTTCCAAGAACAGCTTTCCTGGGCACTAGGCATGGACGTGGTGCCAGCAAATCTTCATATGTGTGAAATAAAAGTATTTTTTTTTTCTTTTTTTGGTTTTTCTTTGTTGTTGGTTGGTTGGTTGGTTTTTCTTTCTCATAAAGATAGGGTTACCCCAGAGCCAGGATATGGTGGTACACACCTTTAATCCCAGCACTCGGGAGGCAGAGGCAGTCAAGATCTCTGTGAGTTTGAGGCCAGCCTGGTCTACAAATCAAGTTCCAGGTCAGCCAGGACTGTTATACAGAGAAACCCTGTCTTGAAAAACCAAAAAGAAAAAGATAGTGTTACGTCAGATCTTGAGAAGGTTAGTGAAGAGGGAAACCCTAAAGAATGCAGAGGGATGGCCTTGGTTTAATTTTGCTTCTCTTGCAGGGAAGGCCCACCCCCCAAAGCCATGGAAGTGGAGGCTGCAGAGGCCAAGTCCCCAGGCCCCTGCTACAAGCGCTCTGGACGCCGTTTTAAGTGCCTGTTCTGTACGAAGACATTTCCAAATGCTCCCAGGGCAGCACGCCATGCTGCTACACACACACCTACAGACTGCTCAGAGGAGGTAAATGAGGTCCAGCCAAATGTGGATACAGAGCCCAAGGCCGAGGAAGCCAGTGGAGACAAGGTGTCTGGTCCAGTACCCAAGCCCCGGCCCTACGCCTGCCCACTGTGCCCCAAGGCCTATAAGACGGCTCCCGAGCTACGCAGCCATGGGCGCAGCCACACTGGTGAGAAGCCCTTCCCATGCCCAGAGTGCGGCCGCCGTTTCATGCAGCCAGTGTGCCTACGCGTGCACCTGGCCTCGCATGCTGGTGAGCTCCCCTTCAGATGTACACACTGCCCCAAGGCTTATGGTACACTCTCCAAACTCAAGATCCACCAGCGTGGGCACACAGGTGAGCGGCCCTATGCCTGTACTGACTGCGGCAAGAGCTTCGCTGATCCTTCAGTGTTCCGAAAGCATCGGCGCACCCATGCAGGTCTGCGACCCTACAGCTGCGAGCGCTGTGGCAAGGCCTACGCCGAGCTCAAGGACTTACGGAACCACGAACGGTGAGACCCCTGGATATAGCTGGGAAATATAAGTGGGAACTAGCATCTTGATAGAGTATGCCAATTGGGAAGGGAGCAGATGGATACTTACCTAAAGATGGGAGCACCTGGTCGGACAGGTCAGGCAAGGTGGCAAAGCAAAGTGCTTAGACATGGGGCCCTCAGTGCAGGTGGGTTCCAGTAAAGCTGGAATCTGTCACTCACAGCGGGAGGGGCATATGTGGGTAGGTCCTAGAAAAGATAGCGCTTTAGATTTTTTGTTTTGGTTTGGTTTGGTTTTTTAAAACAGAGTTCTTTAGTTGCCATGGCTGTCTGGCGTGAGATCAGGCTGGCCTTGAACTCACAGAGAACCACCTGCCTCTGCCTCAGTAGTGCTGGGGTTAAAGGCGTGCGCCACCACTGCCCAGCTAGATTTCCTCACTCTAGGGTACAGCCATGAAGCCCTTAGGGAATTGCAGCCCAGACAGGCTATAGGGCCGTCCCACGTCAACCTGTTGCTATCTAACCAGTCCTCCATTACTCCACAGGTCCCACACGGGTGAGCGCCCTTTCCTGTGCTCTGAGTGTGGTAAAAGCTTCTCCCGATCATCTTCCCTCACATGCCACCAGCGGATCCACGCTGCCCAGAAACCCTATCGCTGTCCGGCTTGTGGTAAAGGCTTTACGCAGCTCAGCTCCTACCAAAGCCATGAGCGCACACATTCGGGCGAGAAGCCCTTCCTGTGCCCTCGCTGTGGCCGCATGTTCTCGGATCCCTCGAGCTTCCGCCGCCACCAGCGGGCCCATGAGGGCGTGAAGCCTTACCGTTGTGAGAAGTGCGGCAAGGACTTCCGGCAGCCAGCCGACCTGGCCATGCATCGGCGAGTGCACACCGGTGACCGGCCCTTCAAGTGCCTGCAGTGTGACAAGACTTTCGTGGCTTCCTGGGACCTCAAGCGGCATGCATTGGTGCACTCAGGACAGCGGCCGTTCCGCTGTGAGGAGTGTGGGCGAGCCTTCGCTGAACGAGCTAGCCTCACCAAGCACAGCCGCATGCACTCCGGCGAGCGTCCTTTCCACTGTAATGCCTGCGGGAAATCCTTTGTGGTGTTATCCAGCCTCAGAAAGCATGAGCGTACCCATAGAAGCAATGAGGCAACAGGAGCTGCCCCCCAGCAAGAGCTGGTACTGGGACTGGCATTGCCTGTAGGCGTCGTGGGTGAGGGCTCAGCTGCCCCCGTGGCAGGCACAGGGCTAGGGGACCCTCCAGCTGGTCTGCTAGGCTTACCCCCAGAGTCCGGTGGTGTAGTGGCCACACAATGGCAAGTGGTGGGCATGACTGTGGAGCATGTGGAGTGTCAGGATGCTGGCGTTGGGGAAGCTCCTGGTACCCTGGGAGATGCAGGAGAGGTGGGGGGTGAAGAGGCTGATGAGAAGCCCCCACAGTTCGTGTGTCGTGAATGTAAAGAAACTTTCTCCACACTGACGTTGCTACGCAGGCACGAGCGCTCACACCCGGAGCTCCGGCCCTTTCCCTGCACCCAGTGTGGTAAGAGTTTCTCAGACAGGGCTGGGCTTCGTAAACATAGCCGCACCCACAGCTCAGTGCGCCCCTACTCCTGTCCCCAGTGCCCTAAAGCTTTCTTGAGTGCCAGTGACCTGCGAAAACATGAACGCACCCACCCTGTGCCCATCGGGACCCCCATACCCCTGGAGCCTCTTGTGGCTTTACTAGGAATGCCAGAAGAAGGGTCAGCTTGAAGCTCAGAGCTCTCTACTACATTCTCAGTCTCCAGATCCCTGCCCCTGGGCAACTAGCTCAGCTCTCAAGTCACCGAGAACTGGGGACAATGGAGGCTGGCAGCACTTGTGAGAGGCACTCATTAAAGTGTTGGCTTTGACACCAAGCTGTCTTTTGTATTCTGGTTGAGTTAAATTTAAGTGGAGATCCCGGATTAACACAAGTTATAAGGGTCTTGGGGTTTTGTTTTATGACAGGATCTCACAGCTTAGCCTGATCCAGAATTCGCTGTATAGCCCAGGCTCACTTTGAACTCAACCAATCCCCCTGTCTTCACTTCCCAAGTACTAGAATTATAGGTGTTTACCACTACATGTGGCTCCTAGAAGAGTCTTGCAATTCATTGTTTGCCAAAGTATGTCTTGGGTTTCTTGTGAAGAGCTTTCAGTGGCCAAGTCTGGACAGAAGGAGTCTCTGGTTTTGAGAGTCTGGGGTTAAAAGGTGTGTTGAAGCATTAGTCCTGCAGTGAGCAAACCTACCGAGCTTTGTTTAGCCTACACTCAGGATCATGAGACCTTTACTGAGTATTTCTGTCTTTTTATAGATAGGTAGCTGGGGTTAAATGATTACCTTTTCTCAGGACTGGAGAAATGACTCCACTGTTAAAGGCTAAGGCTCAAAAAGTACCCACCTTGTCTCTCCAGCTACCTTTAAAAAATTCTGCCCTCTCAGGTGTGAGACAACTATAAAAAGATTCTTTTTCTGTAACAGTAACAGATTAGGAGAACACAGTAACAGATTGGAGGAACAGAGATCCCTCTTCACATTGAAGCCCATCAGCCACAAAGGAATAACCCTCATCTTAAAAGTGCTGTCTGGGCCATGGTGGTGCACATCTGTAATCCCAGCACTCTGTAGACAAAGGCAGACAGGTCTCTGAGGCCAGCCTGGTCTGCATAGTGTGTTTCAGGACAGCCAGGACTACATAGAAAGACCCTGACTAACAAAAAAAAAAAAAAGAAAGAAAGAAAAGAAAAGAAAAAAAACCCCAAAAAACCTAAACCTAAGACTATATGAAAATATAATATACATGGCCTAAGCAGTGGGGACATACTATGTACCTGAATGGACAGGGTTGTTATTAAAAGATGTTGACAGGCTCTACCACTCAGAGGCAAAGGCAAAGGGATCTGTGAGTTCAAGGCCAACTTGATTTACACCAGGAGTTCCAGGCAGGCAGGGCGACATGGTCACACACACACAGTAGGGACTTAGCTTGGTGGTGGAGCATTTAACCTACTATGTGTGAGGTCCTGAGTTCTATGTACAGCATTAGGAGGAAAGAGTTGACTTCCCAGTTTAATCTTTAAGTCTTTGCATTTGCAGCTTCGGCTAGCATTAAATTCACAATGCAGCCCAGGCTGACCTCACACAGGTGCGTCTGCTGTGGCTACCCAAAGCATGTGCCATCACACCTGACTTTCATTTGTAGGAGAAACAACAGAGCAGGGTTTCCCTCTCCTGGGCACTTGGTACCCTTTGTATTTCATGATGCCAGCTGGCTGTCAGTGCAGTGAGGCCGAACTTGAAAGCAGATTACCCTGCCATTCCCCCCAGAGTTATGAGATTGGTATCAAGCCTGGGACTGGTCACTGTACATACTCTGTAAGCAGCTTGTGGAGTTCCCACCCAGTGCTGTGATCATCAGGGTTTTCAATATGGCCATCACAATAGAAAATGGACGATGGCTTGGCCTGTGTTTTGCTCCTGGCCTGATGTTTGCCCGTGTTTGGCGTTATTGATGGTTTTGAGAACATCCAGCAGCACATTAATTGTGCCAGTATGGTGAATAGAAAGAGCCCAAAGGATTTTTTAATCCAGCCTGTAAATCCAAAGCTCATAAGAAACATAATAAGCACTTGCTCTGCTACTGAGGTACACCTCCAGCCCATAATACTTTAAAAACAAAAGGTGATGTGTTTGATGCTAAAAACCAAAGCATTAGGATAAAAAAATACATGATTGGTACAGACATAAAAGTCAACCAGTAGAGTGAGAGAGGATCCAGAGACAGCCATGAGAGTGTCTTTGAACTTACTAATATTTATTTTTTAAGTTTTGCAGTGCTGATGAATGAACCAGAGTCACAAGCAGGCTGGGCAAACACTAGACCGTTACTGTTTTTATTTTGAAATTATGTTGACTAGACTTCAGCCTGCTATGCAGCTGCAACAGACTTGTACTACCAAGCCCAACATGTTTTATCATTTGATCCCTTATTGTTTTTGCTGTTGTCTTGGATTTTTGTTTGTTTTGGCTTTTTTTTTTTTTTTTTTTTTTTTTTTTTTTTTTTTTGAGACAGGGTTTCTCTGTGTAGTTTTGGAGCCTGCCCTGTAACTCACTCTGTAGACCAGGCTGGTCTTGAACTCACAGAGATCTACCTGCTTCTGCCTCCTGAGTGCTGGGACTAAAGGTGTGCACCACCAATGCTGGGCTTGTTGTTTTGTTTTGTTATGCTTTGCTTTTTTGAGACAGTCTTGCTGTGTGGCCCAGAGTGGCCCTTAATCTTAGGATGTTTTCATTCAGCATTTAACATGCTGGGATTACCACCAGTTTTTGTGATTTTTTTTAATGGCAAATGTGATTGTTCATATCACTGGGGAAAAAGAAAGGCTAGTACATAGCTTTCCTTGAAAAATGTCTAGATGACACCAAGAATTTTATCTTCATCACCACATGGGCATAAATACATGCCTGAACACACACACAGAAAGATACCCAGAAAATGAGTTATCCAGGTGTAGCCCCTATGCCTATAATCCCAGAACTTGGAAAGTAGAAGTTGGAGATCAAGATTTGAGGGTCTGCCTTAGCTACATGGCAGATTTAAAGGGCTCTAAAGTGAAATGAGAATATCTCAAAGGCAAAACAACAGCAACAACAAAGACCCCACCTATTACACAGAGAAACTGCAGGGATGGGAAGGGGAGGGAAAAAAAAAAAACAAGGCGAGGATAAGATTTGCAGACAGAATTTGGAATGTGTCAGTGTAGAAGCCATTAGTATACTCCCCTTTAGTGTTACACAAGTCCTCAAGTTTTCATGGAATACTTCTTTAAAAAATTTTTTTATTTTAAATTTAGCTGGGTAGTGGTGATGGTGGCTCACACCTTTAATCCCAGCACTCCAGAGCAGAGGCAGGCAGATCTCTGAGTTTGAGCCTAGCCTGGTCTACAGATAGAGTTCCAGGACAGCTAGGGCTCTACAGAGAAACCCTGTCTCTACCCATCCCCCAATTACATGTATACTTATTTTGTGTATGCGCACATTTATGTGTGTGGGTACTATGTACCAGGGTACACGTATGGCAGTCAGGACAGCCTAGGGGAATCAGGTGCCTTGCACCATTTGGGACCTAGGGATAGGACCTAGGTTGTCAGGCTTGATTGACAGTAAGCACCTTTGCCTGCTGAGCTACCTGGCCTGCCTAAGATTCTAGGTCATACATTATAGCCACTAGGATCTCCCTTCCCAAGTGTAGCTATAGCAAAGCTAAAGGCCAACGTGAGCCAGAACTCCCTTCCTAAGCTTATTTTCTTTTCCTCCTTTTTTGAGACTCTTGCTATAGGAACTCTTTATTTTTCCCTTTTATTTATTTATTTTTTTAAAGACAATGTCTCCCAGTGACTCCCCTTGAACTTGAGGCGAGCCTCATGCTTCAGCCTCCCAAGTGCTGAGATTACAACCATGCACCACCACACTGGGATTCTGTGCCTTTGTAAGAGTTGAGGGAAGGAATCAGGATGCAGTTCACATCCACACCAATATGCTAGTCATGGGGACGCTGAACCGTAAACCAGATAGTGAGCCCCAGCAGAAACAGCAGAGTCTCAATGGCAGAGAGAGCAGTCATGCCCAGGTTCTCAGACATTAGTATTGAGAGGGAAATCTTTTAGGTTCTTGTGATGGCTCGACCAGTAAAATGTATTTGCCTCCAAGCTTGACAACTCAAGTTCCATAGCCAAGACCTGCATAATGGGAGGACAGAACTGACTCTTACCCGTTGTCCTCTGACCTCCAGCAGTGAAGTGGCACACACACACACCCCTAAATGTCTAAAATGGATGGCAGGGATCTTTAGAGTTAAGAGTGTGTGTTGCTCAGTGCTTAATGAGGACTTTGGTATCATCAAAGTAAGTGACATGGTCACTTCGGGGAGAGGGCATGGGTCTGTAATGCAGTACTTGGGAGGCAGAAGCAGGTGGACACTGAGGTGGCTTATGGAGTAAAGGCACTTGCCAATCACTGGAACCTTCATTGTTGAAGCAGAGAATTCATTACAGAAAGTCACTTTCTTGACCTCCCATGCACTCTGGCACAAATGCACACAAATACACACACAATTAAAACAGTCATAAAGTTCATAATTTATTTGCAAACTTTCTGTTTTTGTTTTTAATTATATGTCTGTATGTGGGTTATATGCATGTCAGCACAGGTGTTCACAGAGGGTGTGGGATCCCCTGGAGCTGGAATGACAAGCAATTGTGAGCCACCTGAGGTGGCAGCAAGTTCTGAAGAGCAAAGCCATTCCTCCAGCCACCACAGATGTATATTTACAAGCTATGTATGTTTCTTATAGCTAGAAACCCTTAGACTTAAGATACTTGGCCCATTTTGAGTTAACTTCTGTAAATGGTTTGGGGCAGGCAGTTCAACTTCATTCTTTTGCTTGTGGATTTTCAGTTGTTTCAGAAGCAACTGTTGAAAAGACCATTCTTTGTCTATTGAATTAATTGTCTTGGCCTTCTTTAAAAAAATAAACTAATTGTAAATATGAGGGGTTTTGTTTGGTTTTTAGCTGGGGATCAAATCCAAGGCTTGACACATGCTAGGCAAATGCCAAGTCACACTTTTAACTTCATGTCTGCCATTCTGCCAAAACCACACTATTGGAATTATTGTAGGATTTTAAAAGGATATTTATTTATTTCTAAGTATTTTGGCTGTATATATGTTTGTATATCCAGAAGAGGGTGTTGGGTCTCCTAGAACTGGCATTATGGATGGCTGTGAATAATTCTGTGGATCTGGGAACTGAACCCTAGACCTTTGCAGTAGCAACAAGTGCTTTTAACCACTGAGTCATTCTCCAGCCCCCTGTTA